ACACACCTTTTTTATTTTATTTGTGCAGGAATTTCGATGAATACAATAATGAATAAATACTGGAAAATTTGGGAAAAATTGGAAATAAGGAATTTTCATTGAGCATTATTTTTGAGGAATTGAAAAAATAAAAATGAATAAAAGCTCAAACTTTATTTCAAAAAGTGATAGAAGGTACTTACTTATTTTTTGTTATTAAAAACTATTCCATAAATGTAAAATTTAAATTTTACAGAGGTAATTTACTTAGTGTTATTTTTAAAATCCTTAGAGGTAAATAATATTTTAGACTTAATAAGATTCAAGACAAACCATGTTTTAAAAATTAAATTTTCATGAAAACAGTTTGTCTTAAATTTGATAAAATAAAGTATATAAAACAAAAGATACATTTAGAATATAACTAGTTTAGTGATATAAAAGAAAATATGTATACTTATTTAAAAGCTTCGATATTTCTCAAGGCCATTTAATGTTGACTTGAGTGTCCAATTTATCTATATGAAAATTATTATTATTGCCAAATGAAATATCTTTAACCATTTAATATGATTTGGTAAGTTAATATTAAATAAGTTTTTCTATTTTCAGAAAATTATAAACATTTTTTTTTAAATAAAGAACTAACTAAAGTTGATATAGCTTTTTATAAAAACAGTGACCACTTTATAGTTATTAAACAGTGCTTTTAATACAACTGAACCCAAAGCCCTTCATGGTTTTTAGTAGTACAGATAGTAATAATAATAATAATATTCATATATCTATTACTTATATAATTGAAAAATAAATCAGTGAAAATAATTTTAATGTTATTTATGATATTTATATATATGATTAAAAAAAATATCAATGAAAATGTTACAAGATTATGATAAATGGAATTAAACTTTATATTTTATATTGCAATAAGGTCCATCATCTCTATCATCTGAGAGACTAAATCTGCACTCGTCAGGTTTATAATAATCATTCTTTAAATGTTGTCTGATATCTGGTTCACCTTTTTGTATGTTATTATAGATTCTTTTTTCAACAAATTTTGGAATATTTTTATCATTAAATTTTACTAAATGACTTTTAAATTCATGGTGGAAATATTCATCTGTCATTTTCCATACCATTGTTGAATACCACATCACAACAATCAATACAACTAAACCGTAGATAGCTTGTCCAAATGCCATTCTTAAAATTCTGCTTTTCAAAAGTTTTATTCGAAGAAAAGGGATTTTAAATTTGTATAGAACTGCTCCATTTGTGGCCAGGCCATTGTCATAAAAACTATTAATGAATTAAGCACTACAAAAACTCTCATGTACTCGACTCCCGCACCAGATCTAAGCCAGCCTGAAAAACCACTGAATTCTTCATCTTCTAATATTTCTTCGTTAACAGTATCCTTTTTTATTTTCTCCTTTTCTTCTCTTTTTTTATTCTTCATGACCTGTGACAAAGAATATTGGCAATCAAATTTTATAATAGTCTGTTTTAACTTAAAATTTTATGATAGTTTGAGTAAAAATTATTTTTATTGACTGTGTAAAATACTGACTTTGCAGGGTTATTGAACTGTTTAACATAGGAGTTTTAAAACAATGGTGTGATGACAAAGAAAAACAGTCTTAAAAAAACTTTTATCTTTTATTTTTAGAAAAAAGTTCCATTTTAATAGTTTCTGAGAAACTCTTTAGGAAATTGTTTTTAAAATAAAAGTGCCAAGGAACTTTTTTGTGACCGTTAAGTTCCAGACCGTTCCGTTAAATGAAAAATAAACAGCAATTGGGCTTAAATCTGAGTTATAATTTGTTTTGATTGAATTATCTAATGTATCAATTGCTTAAGAAAATATGAATGTCATTTTTTAGATTGATTTTTTAGTGAAATCGACAGAACTTTTAAATAAATTTTTTTTAAAATAGACGTTCTGTACAACCTTTCCTTGAAAAGTTGCAAGCCAAAATGTTCTAGTTCCAAAAGAATGCAATAAACAAAATAAATGAAAAAATACTGACAATAAAAATTCTGGTGATACAGAAATTTTCTGAAAATACATTTTTTTTTGTTTCTGTTTCCAGTCCTGCTTTTTTAAATAAAATTGAACCTCATCGTATTAATGTACTTTAGGCAAATAATACTTCCAAATAAAAAAATATTAATACATTCTTTTACAATGCTGAAATAACTCGATTTTTTTGGATAAAGTTTAGAATTTTTAGTTTATTTTTATTATTGTTGTTATTTGAAATTGATTACTTTTGATTTTTAAACTAGACTTAAACAATTTATTATTTTCTTAAGCAAAGTCACTGTAATAAATATTGTTTTGTTTATTAAAAAAAAAAAATGATGAGATTATGCAATTAGGATTGAAATTGTCTTTAACACATATTTTATATTATATAAAACTAATCATTTATATATAATATGAAAGATTCTGTCATGATATTACATGTCATAATATTATAACAAATTATAATAAATTCAAATGAAATTTTCTAAATTTCATTGTAAATTAATAGTCTTCAAAAATAATAATCAATTTTTTCACTGTATGTCATATACATGTATACTATAGAAATGAATAAATAAGCTAAAAATATTTGGTTGATAAATTGTTATTTCCTCTCTGATTTGTTCCTAATGAAAAAATAACACTTTTTTGCACAGTATATTTTGAATAAAAAAAAAATAATTTTTTAGTTTTATAAACATTGGCATTTTACATATTATTAATGCCCCCATTTATTTTAGAGGCTAAATTTATGAAAATAAAAGCAAATACAGTTTTGCTTGGGAATCCGGACCCATAAAATCATTAATGGATGAGAGAGAGACAGTATGTGAGATGATCATAATCATAATGTTGTTAATGAATAATAAAATTTGAAAAAAATGTAAATGGTATATAAAACTAATTATGGAATAATAAATGGATGTTACTCACCATAAAGCAGGGAAAAGACAATCACTAAAGGACTTTTAAGTCTTCAGTGAATCCTTACAAGTCTGGTAATTCACTTATAAAATCAATATACCACTAATGAATTAAATCTCCTTTTTATGATTAAATTTTTAACTTTGGAAATAATTTTTATAATGAATATTTGAGTAATTAGCTGTTCAATAATGAATGTTTATATTTCATTGGTGATAAATATAGATTTCATTATTAATTTCACAACCTTTGATACAAAATTAGATCTCTGACAATGTTCATTTCATTATAAATACATTTCACTTAATTATGATTCAATTTGTTTTTCTTCTGTAATTTAAATGTGATTGCTTCATACTCACAGTTATTGAACCGACAATTTTCATTTGTTTAAAGGAATCAACCATTCAAGGTAAACGCATCCTGATTGTTTTTGGAACAAGATTGTTCCCAATAGACAGTTTAGCACCCACGATCCTTCATAATTAATTATGTTATCGATATTTATGTTTTGTTTGTAATAATTGTGTTACATTAATTATACCATATTTGATTGATTATACTTTAAGAACATATTGACGGTTTTATAGCAAAAGGTCTTTAAATGACATTTCATAATCTCAAATAATAAACTAAAATAAAGAACTTTGATGAATTTTTCCTTTGTGAAATCAGAGAATTGTGCATTTAGTGTAACAATATTTGCTTAATAAAAGGGTTTGTTTCATTTTTATGCACTTAAGTTGTATAGATAAATAAGATTGAAATTCGCAAAAACATATTCAAAAGTTAACTTATCAAAAATTCACTTGGTGAATTTTGCAACAAACCAATGATATTGTTTTGTTTGTTAATAAACTAATTATTTTATGATTGTTGTATTGCTTTTCAAAAACTGATTTTACTGTTAGTGACTGGAAATTGAATTTCACATTTTTCTTCTCTATGGTGATTTAGTGTAGTTTTTAGAAAACTGTTTTGAAGTTCTTTTGAGATGCGTTCCAAATGATTTTAACAAATTTACGAATGAAAATCAAACCTAGTGATTTCCGGAAAAACTCTCAGTATCAATGAGAATCAACAATTGCTAAAAGTGTGTGAAATCAATTTCGAAAGTCCATGCTTCTCACATTGACAGCGGTATTTTGACTGCTCAAGCCTCAGAAAACCTTAAAATTTAACTGAATCGGTATTAGACAGAAAGGCAAAAAATACACTGTAACCAAAATAAATATATTTTTGCTTTAAATGATGCCTTTATGTATATATTCAACCTATAAACCTGTCTATATTCCTTAGGGGTTTGGAGTGGGTAGAGTACCTGTGTGTAATTAATAAACTGCCACAAAAATGTCCCACATGGCTAGAATAATGGCTTTTAATAAAAAATTCTTCTTCGCTCTTCCCTCTATATGGCTGTCAGGGAATAAAAATAAATAAAAACTTATTTTATTATTTTAGGTTTTTAATAACCTTTTAAGGGGGCCATTGTAGCTGATGGGGTTAGGTAAAAATCCACTAGTCTTCAAACCCAAAGATTGTGTGGATTTGAATCCTGGTGCAGGGCAAAGATTCCACTGGCAAAAATTAAATATATAAAATGAATTATTTAAATACAAATCTGTTTCCCCTCCCCTCCAGTATGTAAGGCCCGTCAGCCTAATGGAGACCACTTATACTGATCAAATCTAGAAGTGATGCCCGTACCATATGTACTTTAATCAGCAATCATTGTAGTTTTTCCAGGATGTTCCCCAGAGATTTCGTCAAAGGACAATCTGATTATGAAAATAAATTTAGGTCCTCATATGCCCTCCGACTCTCAGTTAAGCAGCCATAATTCAATGAAAAGGATAAGACCAGATTGGCTATGGAGCTATGTGAGGCCAAGCATTGCACCATGGAGACCATGATCTATAATTGTGGTCCCACAGGTAATATATATTTGTAAGAAGATCACATTGCGCAGCTTAAGATCAACATGATCTATAGCATCAACCAAAATAAAAAAATCCACTTTGGATGAAAAACAAATATTATAAAATAATAATTTAAAATTCTTTTATTTTCAACATCCTTTATTTTATCATAAATTATAAGTTGTTATATTTTTGCTCAAATGAAATTCAATATACAACTAAACTTGTATTCAGTATATAAAGCGGTGTATTCCAAAAACAGCACATCTATTTTCCAGTTTTTTTTTTATGACTGTGGATTTTTACCTAAATCCTATCAACTCTTGATCTCATACAAAAACGGCAAAATAAAGTAATGAAAATTAGATTATAGACTAATTGGTTTTGGAATGCAACACCTTGTTTAATACATGAATGTACACAGGCGCTGGGGCAACTAATTAATAGCTCTTTCTGATTAGTTCAATCCTTTTTTCTTTTCTTGTGTTCCTGAAGGTACAAGGTATATCTCAGCGTATATATATATTTATTTGTATTTGATAAATAATATAATTTAAATGCAGTAAAGAATTCTGTAAAGATTCAGGGATAAACAAGTTTTACATAAAAGCTTAACAATTTTATTAATTAACAAAAATAAATACATAGGCTATTCGCTTTAAATAGTTTATCACATCATAAACTATAATACTATTTCATAAAATATATATCACGTTTTGCACATAGAAAAAAGTCTTAATCGATTTTTAAAATAATTAAAAATTTTACAGTACACGAGTTCAATAAATCTCTCCTAACTAAAAATATATCTTACAAAATGAGAGTTCAAATGGAGAAAATAAATTATTTTTATAGAGGGATGAAGACGAGCTGATCCCATTGAGTAGCAAAAAGGATGTTCAACTGCGAGTCCAGACCAATGTTCTCAACTCGGAGGAGTTTCGCCCTACTTTGGCCTGGTTCTTTAGCTAAGATTGCGGTCCCTGAAACTCGCATTGTGTGAGGTTCCACTTCTTTCTCTGAACCTGTTGTATCAAGGGACACCTGGCAGGTTAGGTCTACGTGAACTTCTTTAACAATTCCTTTTTTGCCATTCTTCTCATACTGTAAGATAAAATAATATATTTTTAAAATATAGTATTTGAATTAGAGTTAAAACAAAATTAATAAAATAAAATTCTATCAAAATTAAGTGAAATAGAGAAAGCATCAATTATCCATTCATCAATCAAACACTTGATAAACAAATAAAATAAACAGTTGTTGGAATATAAATTAGATGTTATGTTAAAAAGTTAACACATTTTCCAAACCATGGGAAACACAAGTGTGAAGTTAAAGCATTTCTCTAGATTAGTGTATGTGTTCCACTGTGGCTTAATAAATTATTTTTATTTTAAAAATAAAAATAGTTTAACCGAACTCGAAAGTTAAGATCTCCCTCACCACTGCGAGTTTCTTGATTTTTATTTGCATTTTTTACATGAGGGAGATACACCACCTCTAAACTATAATGCCACCATTAAATACCTTCCTTCAATCTTGAGTTCTTTGAATTTCAAAAAGTCTATGTGACATTGTTGGATTTTATCTAATCATCTGTTTTATTTTATCTGTCTGTGTTCGAACAATTTAAAATGACAAAAACAGGTTTGAATAATTGTTTATGTAAAATTTTTAATGTTTCCTTAGTTACACATTTAAATAAAAATATCTTATTTATATACTGTTATTATTTAATTTTAGTTCTGTTCTTAGGTTAAGAATAATTTGGTTGATAAACGAAACTAGAATTCCTACTGATTAGTTTGGACAATCGATGCTCTACTCTATAACTATTTTTATGATATTTTTCACTCAAGTATTAGTTAAAACGGTTTTGCACTTACCACTTCTTGCTTCTTTTCATATTGGGGAGCATCTGCCCTGAAGACGACAGCTTCGCCCAACCTCAGCTGGCCAGCAAGTACTTCGAAACTCATGCCTGCCCTGACAGCAGATGGCTCGAATCCAAGCCCATCTGGGTGCGAGTCGGACCACATGAAGTTATCGGGATTATTTAAACTATTTGATTCAAAGACTAATCTCTTTCCATATCCCATTCCGATGGATTTCAATTCTAGAGGCCGGCCACCAAAAAATGGACGCCTTTTTCCAGCTGCGGGCCTCACCCTGTAATGGAAACCAGGGACTATTCTTGGATCGATGTAAGTACCTGTAATTAAAAAAATTGAATTATTATTTATTTAAATATAAATTTCTAGATGATATTTAACATTTAATTATAAAATATGTTGCAGCAAACAATTTCTAGAAATGATCATTAAGTAAACTAATTTCTACCAAAATCTTTTTCTTATTAGGACCCAAACGGTTTCTTAATGAGTAATTTTAAGAATACAATAGATAATCAATTACTACAAAAAAAAAAAATAGTGATAAACTTAGGTTATTTTGAAGTTTCTGTTTTTTTTTAATAGACTTTAAGAATATAGTATAAGGAACTAAGTTGTTTGACAATAGTTATCAGTTATTGATTTATACATCTCAATAAGTTTACTTTGAAAAATATCACAATTACATAAATTTATTTTGATCACCATATTAAAATTATAAAATTATTTGAAAACCACATTCTTTAGCTTTCAAATATTTCAAAATAATATATCATTAGAAATAACTTACCAATAACTGGGAGCTCATAGGTCTCAAGACCGATGATGTTGTAGGAAGTTGGGACATCACCAATGTTGTTTCCTTTTACAACGGTATGCCTGAGCCTGGTGTTTATTCCAGGGGTGAGAGAATAGCATCTTCTTGGGTGACTGCCAACGGTGACACCAATCATCTTCGTCTTCACCTTTCCATCTCGCTTATTTTTCACGCTAACAGCGATGCCACTCATCTAAGAAAAATATCAACCATTCAAATCAAATCTAATACTAAAAAAAAATATTTTTTTTTGCATCACAAAAATTTAATTTTAAAAAGTGATTGAAGATTGAATAATATTAGAAGACTTTATTGTGCAATTTATTGGGGTTTTTTTATATTGACTTTATAGTTAATAATATTACTTTGAATATTTTTTTACTCTTTTAGCGACTCAATACTTTACACTAGAGATCTCCAAACTAAGGCCCATGGGCCTGATCTGACTCGCTAGCACCTGGCTCGATTTTTAAAAATTATTTAAAAATATGAAATTTAGCAAATTCCTCACACACAAGGTTACAACATTTATTACATAGGTTTTCTTCTCCTAGAAAGTTCATTCCACAGCTAGAGTAACATTTATAAAACAAGATATTTTTCTTCATTACTAGCCATGGCTCGTGGGACTTTGGTGGAGGTCACAATGTGCCCCATGGGCCAAAAAGTTTGGAGACTCCTACTTTAAACAATGCTAATATGTTTACTATTGTAGTTTTGATCAAAGGAAATAACTTAGCGAGTCAAAAATGATCCTTATGTTTTAAAACTAATGTGATATCACATGCCATCTGCACTATGCATAATCTGACTCTCCGCGGTTTTCGTCTAGAACTCGGAAAAATTTGGAACTTATGAAAACTATTTTTTGACTTACCAAGTGACCATATGTTAATGGTCAGAATTTCAGACAATGATAAATTAAAAACTAAGATAAGCGATATAAAAAAAAAATAATAAAATAAAAATTCACAAGAAATCTCCGGTAAAGGTGGTAAATAATTGCATAATTAATTAACTACAATTATTGAATTGAAAAAATAACTGATCAACCTGATGTTAATATTATCTTTAGAAAAATATTTTTGTTTTTACTTGATTTAAATGTTTCAAGAAGTATATAAATTAGCAATAAATATATTTTTTTAAAATTTGTATAGGGACATTTTTTTTTTTATACTTACAGCTACTATCAGTTCTGACTCCTCTTCGTACCATTCCACTTTGCAGAAGGACTTAACACGTGCTGTTTTCTCCACAGAACCATCACTCAAAATCCTATGGCCTACCTCTTCTTGAGGCATCTGTAAACAGAAAATTAACAAGATCAGCTGAGATTCATAAAGGATTTTTATTTATTTTATAAGTGTTCAAGGATTGAGTTGAGAAAATTGTTTACAAATATTTTTAACGATATAAAAAAGTAGAACAATAAAAGTGAATTTGAATAATTAATATTTTTTTAAAAATTAAAAATGATTTTTTCTTTCAATTTTAAATTTAAACTTTGATTTTGGATGGTTTAATAAACTTACCTTGTATTTTCATTACACAAGGAAAGTAGAAAACAAGCCAAATAAGCAGTGGCTATGTTAAATATTTTCACCAAATAATAGTTCAAACAAATTATTTATTGTACGATGAATTTATACTAATTGTTTCTCGGAATAATAAAATATTTGAGTAACTGATTTATAAATAAATAAATTTTATTCTAGCTATTGTCATCAACAGTAAAGTATATTGAATATAAATGAGCAGCTTATTTCCAAAATAAACCCTAAAAGATTTTTATGAAAATTGAGATAAGTATCAGTTAATATACACACACAAAAAAAATCATTGAATCCGATGAAGTAATTAATTTTCTTTTTCGAAAACAAACTCAAATATTAAAAAAAAATTGGTATGGAAATAAGATTATTACCAACATTTTCTCCCCAAAACAAAGCATTATCACTATTGAAAACAAAGCACAATCACTATTGTTTTCGTTTAAAGGTGGGCTTTGAAGTAATCGATTATGATCTAATTTCATAATTTATATATATTTTTTTTAATATTGGTTTTGATATAGCAATTGGAAGAGAAAATGTAGTTTTTTGAGTTTGCTGAAAAATTGTTAATAATGATTAGGGTTCACTTTAGAAATATACAACTCAAATGATTAATGTTGCCAACTTTAAATCTCTTAAATTAGATAATAACTTGTACGTAATATTAAATCATGCTGAAGTACTGTTTTTAATTAATAAATAAATTTTAATATTAAGAAAGCATTAATAATTATCAAATATTCGAATCTTGGAAAAAAAAAATAATAAAAAATAAGATTTGTGAAATAAAATTAATATATGATAATGAGTGAAATTATGGATGATGATAATGAGGATGAATTAGACAATGCGGTTATAATGTAATGTAAATTATTTAATTAATAAGCAACCAATCAGTAATATTTTGAAAAAAATAATAAATGTAATACAGCCTTAGTAAAAACACCATTAAGCGATGTAATATAAAATGACTTTCTTATTTATTAGGGATAAAACAGATATACAAGCACATATTTACTCAAGACATTTGACAAGACAGCACAGAGGACAATTACTCTATAAAATTGAGACATTTTCACGTTAACAATTTGTTGAAATACCATTTGGTGAAAATGTAGGCGATATTGAATATGAGTTAGAGTTGAAGTGTCTGAGAAAGTGGTTGGTGACTGGAGTGTACCTTTGGCCTGGCGGGTCACTTCAGTGAGGTCACTCATGGCCGCTCGTCGCAGCTGAAGGGCTCCAGCGGTTCCCTCTCCTCGGCTGGCAGCTTGCCTCCTAATCATCTCAACATATTGTCGCCTCACTCCCACGGTATACAACCACATTCCTACCGCTCGCGATCCTAATCAACTATCATCTTTTAGCCCTATTGTCCCCCCAAAAATAAAGTAGATAAAATAGGCATTTAAAAGAAAATACTTATGCATATGAGTAAAAAACAAAACAAAAACAAATAATAGCAATCCCTAAATCATTAAATAAGTTTTCTTAGAGAATGCTTAGTTTCTTTCATCATTCATTAAATTTTAAAGTTAAAAAAAACTTTCTTTTTTTAATCATTGTGAAATATAAAAACATGAACCTAATGATTTAGAAACCGCTATAAGCATTGAATTTTCACAAAATGTTAAAAACTGAACGAAAGTTCAGTTTTTAAATTCATTAAGTACAAAATAAATGATACCATACTTATATTTTAAAAGTATGACTATCATTTGATTTGCTAAATTTTCAATAAAATTTCAGTGGTGGTTTAAGGTATTACACAAATTACAATTGAAGTTAAAAAATATCTAAAAAGATAAGACCTTAGATCATTATCAAATTTCTGGCATTATTATAGTGAGCAAGATTTTATATTGTTTTATAAATCATTTTGACAAAAGTCTTTTTATCTTTAAAGGCTATCCATCCTATCGCTCCCTTGAAAAAAATATGAGTAATGAAAATTAAAGTTTATTTTAACAGTTTTTAAAAGAATGACAGACTACAAAATAGCTGGAGAATATGTAAAAAAAAAATGATAAATGGTAATTATTCAGTTAGATTTAATCCATTAACTCAACAGATGGGATGATATATATCATATTGTTCTTCTATCAGATAAAATAAATAAAACTACTGATATTAAAATTCCTAATAAAAGAATTTAAAGAGCAATGAATTTTCTAAGACAGTTGATCTTTTTTTAATGAATATTTTTAATCAGTGGATAGCTCTCATAAATGTCTATAATTCAGATTTAGATAACTTATATTTTGACATCTAATATAGGAAATTCTGAACATAATTGGACTGTGTTTTAATCTTTTATCTTTTTTTTTTCTGTTGATTTTACAGATATAGTTGATTTTTGGCTATCTAAATCACCTTTCTTCACTTTAATTTTGTTTTATTAGAACAAATATTGTATGCATCCTAACACTAGAAGCAGCCAATATTTATTATATTAGCATTTACAATTGGATTGTAGTTACAATCCAACTTGACATATCAATAAAACTACTTTTTTTGCTTATTGTACAGCAATCAAAATTTTCTTTCTTAATGATGTATAAGTGAACTTTTGCTTTAATTTGGCCTATTCATGTATATAAAAATTACCGAAATCCACCACTGTACATTTCTTACTAAAGAAGAGACTATTATTAAACAGAAATATATTACTAGAAGTCCTTTTTTTTTTTTTCTTTCTTTAAATACATCATTTCTAAGAAAATTTTAGAAAGTAAAATAAATGTTTCTTATGTGATAATTCAATGCTGATCAAAAATAATATTTTAAAAAAAATAATAATAATAAATAAAGTCAATGCCTGTTTTATCTACGTCTATTTATTTCTTTAATTATATATCAAGTCTATTGCAAAATTATAAGCATGTACATGCAACATTTGATTCTATGAGGATGATTTTTTATAAAATGATGTTAAATGATACATTTATGGAAGACATACCATGCATTTAGCTATATTTGATATATAATAAAAGAAACTAAAACAGTTTAACAAAATAATTGACAAAATTGTTAACACAGATTTTATTTAAAATTGAAGTTAAAATTAAAAAATAATTAAAGTTTGTCAATTTGACTTTACAATATTTCTATTGAAAAACAAAATATTGAAAACATTTCTTTAAAAGATAAAGTATTAAACGAATTACGAAAGCATATAATAACCCCATGAAAGAAAAAAAAACAAACACAAGGACAATGATTGCAGACGAAAATAAAGTGACAACATGTAAGGGTTACCTTTGTTTCCATAAAATGTAATTAAGGAACATATTGATATTACCTGGTTCTTTAGAAATTCTAGCGTGCCGACTGGAACCTGATAGGCGTTATAGACAGTGAACTTGTCCCCAGTGGATACCAATTCCAGTTCAAAGGCGAAACCCATTTCGGACGAGTCGGCCCAGAAGTAGTTGGGATTAGAGTTGAGGTTCCCTTTACCGGGAGCAAAGGTTAGCCTCCTGCTGTATCCTCGCCCAATGCTTTGCAGCTCAAGGGCTTCACCCTTGAACAGCCATCTGTCCTTGATGCCCTTCTGAAATTTTCAATGTCATATTAATATTACAACTAAAAAATAATACATCTGAAAATGTATATGATCAAAATCATTGACAAATTTTCAGAAAACGAGAAAAACTATATTTTCTATTTCAATTGTAACATTAAAACCAATGTTTTTAAATTAAGAAATTCTTTATTTGTAGAAGATATTTTCGAAAACATTGATTTTTTTTAATAATAATTAAAAAAAAGAAAGTTTGAAGAGAAAAACGGTTTACAGTTAAAGGAGAAAAAAGCTATAAAAACTGTACTTTACTAATGTACAACATATGTGTTCTATGACTAGGTGTGAAAGTGGGTGCACTGCTATAAGCAAATGTAAATTTAAAATATATGTAAAATCAGAAGATCCCTGAAGAGGACTAAATTTTAAATAAAGTATTTTAACTATTGAGACTAAAAAGGCCTTGTTCTACTAAAATTTATGTTGAAAAGAAAATTTATTATCCCAAACAACTCAAAAAATACACAATTTATCAAATCATTTGAAAGACAATTAAATTATTTACATGACGAAAAAAAAAAAAAAAAAAAAAATGAAGTTGGCCCACAATCAGCAAATATATTATCTTGGACCGGGAGTGAGAAGCATTTTTGGGCCCCTTTTATTTTAAAAACATAAAAACCTTTAGTCGTTTGACCAATAATGCAAAATGTTTAGCCAGAAAAACAAAAACACATCAATACCTTCTCATTGTTCAAATTATAATTAAAAGGAATAACTTAATAAAATTGTACCTGATAACATTCAAAATTAATTATTGTTTTTAAAGAAGTTTAAAAAAAAAATTTAAGATTTTAAATTTCCTTCAGTAGCTAAACATTTTTTAAAGGGGGAGTGGTGCTTAGTAATTTGAGAAAAACTGTTGGGAATGAATCTTAAGTGTTTGTTGTGGGTGGTATATTTGGACAACTAAGGATAATTAAACAAAAGAAAAAAAAAGAAAAAGAAAAATACATCAACTTTCTTTCTCTGTTATTTTCAAATAAATTTATAATCAATGATATTATATTTTATTTTATTATAAAACATTTATTTTAATTTTATCTAATGTTTATTTATGAAATAACAAATAAAATATTATTAAACTATTACTCACTTCTTGAATAGGGCGCACTCTGTATTTATATCCAGGTACAATTCTTGGGTCAACATAGACTCCAATGGCAGGGAATTCATGCTTCTTCAAGTTGAATACTTGGTACCTGGCGGGAATGTCACCAATCTGGCCCCCATCCAATTCGAGGGGCCTGAGGGCCTCCTGGGCACAGGTGCTCGGTATCTTAGCAGGCAATGGTGTGTATACATCCTGTAATTATAACAATAAAATATTAAATGAGTAAAAAATAATTTAAATAAAATCAACAAGTAGTTTGAATACAACAAATACAAACAAATTATAAGTATAAAATGGATATATATTTTTTAAAAAACAACTCACTTTAATTGATTTTAGATTGCTATAATAGCTTTTGACGTAACCGGCTAAAGATTGATAAAACCCAGCAATCATTACAATAATTTCTTCGTTCATTTAAAAAATGATAAGTGACCCATGGCTCACAGAAGGGCACATTACAGACTGCATAAGACTAAACTAAAGAGGAGTATTCGGACGAATGCCAACTTGGCAATAAATTGAACACCTTGGCTCGACACACGGGCGCTGTTTACAATTATTTATAACCTTTTAAAATTTCACCTAAACGTTTAAAATATACTGTCTATTTCAACAGCCCAACTGCGCGGAGTTAAAGAAATAACACTGTAAATATAAGGACCAGAAATATGAGCAGTAGAAATGATTTTATCTTTTATTAGATGAATGTTGAAAACATCAACAAACATATTTAAAACATAAAGCAATCACTAGATGTATTGTTCATACACTTTTATCTTTATTTAAAAGTTATACAAAACTAATTGTTATATATTTTTTAAATGATAATGATATATTATAAAATATATTATTATACAAGTAATATGGCTTGTACTATGGAATCGGTTAAATTTATAAATACACAATCTTTCCATTATTGAACTAGCTGCTTTATATGGGTAAAATTAAATAAAACATTCAAAACTTAATCAAACATTTATTTTTACTTAAAATAGTGTCTTAACAAGGTGACGTTTCCTAGTGTTTATATAATTAAAAATTAGCATTTAAAATACCTTCTCAAAAAAAAAAAAAAAATCAAATTTAGGCAAATGTTACTTATTGATACTGTTTGAAAATAAAATAATTCATCAATCTTAAAACATGATTAACATTAATCAGAAACACTTACATAACGGAGTTTATTAAAGGTTATTTCGTATTCTGTTAGTTCATAAAAGTATTTCGTGATCTGGTTCATGATGATCAATGAAATGTGATTTAAAATTCTGTTTGCCAAAAAATGAAAATAAATATAAGATCACCATGAAGTGTTTACAAATAAAAACATGTGTTATTAAATATTAATCAATGGTACCAACTTAACACTATATAGAAAAACTAAATATTATTTTTAAATTATAAAGCTGTTCATTATATTTCATTGATTATTGAGCATAAGAATCTAAAGTGTTAACAATTTTTTTTAATTAACTTACTATTCAGTTTTAAAATGACGGTTTATTTTGGAGAATTTATTTATAAATGTTAGAACTTTTTGGTAACAATGTAACAAGCATTGCTTTTTTAGCTAGATCATACCATTGATTACAAATATTTTGTAAAATCCATTAATGTATCTTAATGTAGAGTGAACTTAAGTTATATAGAAAAAAATAATTACCTGGACAGAGCATTCACTAGTGAAACATAACGGAGTTGGGCTGCTCGAGCGACTTTTAGAGTTGACTGTTTCAAATTCATCAACCTGTAAATGGAAGTATTTATTAACTGCTGATGTAACTAAAAAGGTGAACAACAACAATAATAGGAAACCTTTACACAAGTAGAATCAGAAAAAGTTTAATTAGTTTAATCGGGAAGGAAAGTGATCAATGATAGGAGGCCATATATGTAAGCATTTAATCAGAAGCCAGACATGATAAGGGAATTCCCTGCATTCTCGTTGAACACAGTTTTTCATTAAACGAAAGATATTTTACATAAAGGTTGCCCTAAGTTTTGAATATCTTACTCAATCCAATAATTTATAAATAATTCTATTTGCCAATTGAATTAAATGAAAATATAATAAACCCTCACTCTTATGCAGTATAAAGAATTAATTATTTAATGGAAGAACATTTATGATAGAAAAAAATAGGTTAAATAAGTTTTAATGTAAAAATGGCCAGTATGAACAAATGAAATTTTGTTTGTTCCATCTAACTGTTTTAGAAGTTACTCAAAATAAGTTGTTTCAAGCACTTCGGTTTTGTCTTCTAGATTGATGGTTTAATAGATTCTGTTTGCAACAATTTTAAGATAATTTAAAGGACAATCTTTCATTCGAGTTTGATTCTTATGGGCCAATGTGTGATGTACCAAGCAAAGTGTTTATAGTTAATACTATAATATTATTTTGTCTGATTTTATTTTTTTAACAGATCAGATGGAGAATATGGAGAATCAAAACTTGATGGCTATGATTTTGAATAGAGCAGATAATTCGTAAATACAAAATTTATCATGTGTACTGAACTTGGATGTACATATTATCAAATAATTTTATAGGAAAGAAGGGCCATAGAAATATAAGAACTATAATCTCTTCAACAAACCCTATTCTCAGTATAGAAATAATTGAACTGTACTATTTTAACTAGAACTAATGTTCTCAGAATATGATCTTTACTGATTTCCTGCTTCTAGTTATGGAGAAACTCATCAATTAAAAGGCGTCTGGTATTCAGAAGATCTTTATACTATAAATTATTGAAAATTTAAGGGGATTTTTAAAGTTATCCCCTATAGAAAACTGTGCTCTGGAAATTTCACTGAATAATACGGTCAGGTTCAGCAAAACTGTTATGTTCCCTTTTCTTAGTATTAAATTTTGGAAAGGAATGAGAATTAAATAAACCATTTATTTTATTTGTTTAGAAAGTCAAACCAAAGGTTATTAGGTCATACACTAAAAGAAGAAAATGTTAAGCTTACCAAAAATTACCAACAGTAATACGGACGGCGTTATGATTACCGTTAACAGATATTTTTACTAACAAGAACTTTTTTTCTAGCAATATTTTAAAATTCATAGAACGACTAGGAAATATTTAGGTGACAGGGTTGATATAACTAATAGGTGGTAACACTGATTTTTACGACGAGATCAAATCGCAATGTTGTCATAGCAGTCTTTTTTTTTTTGGTTATATACCATAAAAGTTTCATAAATTTTTAGTATTTGCTTATAATATATGCTTATAAAATTTTCTTTGCTTATAGTAGAGTTAAAATCAGACTTTCGTTAATCCAAATAAACTTTACGGACTTTTATTATTTAATAATTAAACACTGATAGTCTATTATTTGAGTCGTTTTTTTCAAAGTGAATCCTAATGATCATTGACAAATTTTCAGGGAAAACGAAAAACTATATTTTCTATTCGATTTATTTACAAATTAAGAAAGTCTTTACATATATCACATACCTCTGAAAATCGCTAATTATTTCAAAAGTAATTTAGGAAAGAATTAAATTTCAAAGAATTTTTTTGGATTAAAAAAAGAGTTTGGTTTGGAGAGAAAAATGGTGTATGATTTGGAGAGAAAAAGTCATGGAAACATTTTTTTTGTTTACATTAATGGTATAATAAAATTAATTTCTTTTAATAAAAGCTTTTAACGATTTAAAAAAAAAAGTATACTTAAGAAATACAGATTTCATTATATTCCTTGAAAAAAGGGATGGTTTCGGAAATAACATTTCACACAACTCTTTTTAATAGTTAGGATTATTTATGAAAAAAAAAAATTCACTTTTGGATTCGATCGATACTTATCTCGATTACCATTAGGTATTACAATCGATTAGGACTAACTTTGATAATGAGCGATTCATTACGTATCCATGTTTTTAAACGCCATTTTTGAATTTTGGATTTAATCAGCTGTAACACACCCTCTTGATTCACACCCATTCTAAATCTATTTATAACACCCTTGCGAAATATCTGCGGCGCTTAGGATCCCTCGTCTTATTTTAACCAATGCTATCCAGTGCCAAGAAGATCTGGTTAGAATAATAGTTACTCACCACTCCCTCGTGTTACGCTAAAATAATTTTTAAATAAATATATGAACATCTGTGCGGACTACAGAGGCAGGATTATTGAAAAAATAAATCACTAAATCAAAACAGACAAATCCTTGCGTATATAAATAAATATTTCGTATTGAAAACATTCATTGATTTATTTTTGTCATAAAAAGTGGCAATACGATTGCATCCATCGATTTATTATTTATTTGTCGAAAAATCGAATCGTCTCAATGGGATAACTTGAAAGCGATTGAGTATCGAGTTACATAACAATCGAGACACTGAGCGAAGAGGCGAGATATTTTTAGTATCATATCAAATAACTTCCTGCCCCTCCCCTCCAACGGAGCGGAAGCACCTCGACAAAGAGGCACTCCCTTTGGCGAACGATAAATGTTTTCATTAAAGGTTTGCGGAAGTGCATTTTGAAGGAAATGACCCTGTGATGTTCCATACAATAAATTATCACGTATGATGAAGTGATTTATTACATTTTTTTTTTGTATCGGAGTGCATACTAACGAGTTTGTCAGTGTATATATAATTAATAGCAACAAGAGAGAAGGACTAAACGAATTCTGCACATTTTATAAAGAAAAATTTTCGATAGTAAATTTTAAATCAGTGATGGCGGGGGACCAATGCCAGAGTTAAAAGTCTCCCGGTAACTGGATTCGAACTCGTAATCTTCGGTTTATCAGTAATGCTGGGTAACGCGTTTTCCACACGCTTTAGCCCGCTCGACCACCCCACCCTAGTATGCTTATTACCTGTAATATAATGTAATTACTACCCATACGATTTTTTTTTAAAATTAAATGACCGAGAAATATTGGAGGGGCTGGCCCCCTTCATGGAATAGTGACGGGAAAATGTGCCTTGTCCCCCTCCCCCCCTATTCCTGGCGCCTATGATGATACCGTAGTATCGACGTCGATTCCAGAGATCCACTCGAAAACATCAGTCAACAAGCATGGCGCCGTCACCGGGGAGAGGAAGTGGGAATTTACAGTTATTTACTTGAAAATAGCTAATAATAAGTTCAATTTATCGTATAAGTAATAATTTATGTATTCTTCTTTCATTCATTAAATGCTTTCATCGTGTTACACTAAAGCCGAGTTTACACATTTCAAAAACAACAGAAACTGGATGTTTACACATTTTATGTATTTCCAAAGAAATAAATACGGCGGACGTTGGGAACCACATTCGCTCTAACCTAATGTAATTTAAAGAACCAAAACAGAGAGAAGTAAGAGAAAACGTAAAAATTATCAAAGATGGTGGGTGAAGAAAATTCATTTAAATAGTAGCAGTAACCATTAAATAAAACATCACGCAAGCAACATACAAATAAAGAAATGTGTAAAAGCGACACAAGAGCTCACTCAAACTTCGATTTATGTTAAAAAACCAGGAGCTGATAGATCGATCACAGAAGATAAAAACACGCTGTTTAGATATTAGTATTTCTTATAGTTTGTTAAATGTTTAAACATAACTTAATATTATTCTTCCCTATCTCAATATTTCTAAAGTACCGGCACCTATGAAGTCAAGTCAAACGACCAGACAACAGACACAGCTGAATCAGCAAAACGTCATTTCCTTCATAACCCCAACCTTATATCCTTGAAGAATGCGTTATTAAAAATAATTCTTTCATAGATTAAGTGTAATTGGCTTATCCCGTAACTATGAGTTTTAATGTTATAAATCTTCGTATTTTTCAATAAATGGTCTATTTAAAGCTAAATTGATTTTTCGAAATGGACTAAATTTTTTTTGAAATTTGCAATTTTAAACGAACTCTTTATGTTTACACATTAATTTCCAAATTAAACCACAAACACTTCTCATGAATTAGTGCAGACCCCTCCCCTTCGATAAGATTTGGGAAAAAGGGAGTGCAAATAATAGCTAAATTCGACAATTACATAGCCAGTTCGAGAAGGTGTACGAGAATAGATATATTGCATGAACAACGAAACTATTTTACAAAACCTGCAACTGATAAGAAGAAACAAAAGAGGTTCGTGGCCTTTAAAAAGCAAAACGTCTGTCAACCTCGGCATAAAATTTGTAGTAATTTCGTTAGCATCCTTGAAAAAACAGTAAAAAAAAAAAATTAACAGAACACTAATTATTGCTATTATAATTTTTAAAAATGTATTTTAAATTATTTTACTATAAAGTTTTCTAGATGCATATATTAATGACTACTTTGTTTACTATTAATATTCAAGATTTGCGGTCTATATATTATTTAAATTATTTGAAAAAATATATAATTAGAGGCAATTTAAATTATAAAAGCATGGAAATAGAAAAAAATAAGTGACAAAATTGAGAATTTTTCTCACATTTATATTTTAAATTTAATTATTAAAGAATAATTGTACTAGTCCGTGGCACAGACCCCTTTTTATCGGATTATTAACATCTGCCAGAAATTTCGTAAATAGTTTCATCTCATCGTAACCTACAACTATTTTATTTATGAAAATTCTTGGAATTGGGACATTTTCAATCTTGAGGGAGGCAAACTTTGTATATTTAACTAATAACTCGAAAATTTCCATTTGATTTCTACTTGGATCGTAAGATAATTTGATCACAAAATCGATAAAAAATACGGTCTACAAAAATATTGGGCCGTTTGTTCAATATGACGTCGTTATTTTGAAATTTTGGGGGTGTAGATCATGCCAAACGGCTCAATATTTTTGAAGGCCACCTTTTTTCTCGATTTTGTGATAAAAATATCTCACGATCCAATTAGAAAGCAAATGGGTATTTACGAGGTTTTAATAATTAATTAAATAGACAAAGTTTGCTCCCCTCCCCTCCAGATTGAAAACGCCTCAATTCCAAGAGTTTTAGTAAATAAAATAGTTGTACGTTACGATGAGATAAAACTATTTACGAAGTTTCGATAATTCGATAAATACTGGGTCTGCACCACGGACTAAACATTTAGGATGAATAATACACATATATACTAACTAATGCAGAAGTACTATCGAGTTTCTCTTTTGAAAATATTCGCTATTTTAATTTTTGTTTATGTATTCCCGTAAGAGAAATAGGCCAAGGACCTAGATTATGTTCGGCAAAAATCTTTAGACTTAATTTAATTTTTTAGTTTTTACAAGTATATGGCATTGAAACAAGAAAAAACATTCTGAAAAGTAAACTGATGTCTACTGAAAACCAACTATGATTTTGCTCTTAAAAATATTTAAATTTTATGAGCACAACTACAGTTCTTTAATCAATATATCAGAAAAAAGAAACTGACGGATTGTTTAAAGAGTAGCTTTAGTTTAAACAACCTAAGTTTTTTTTAATTTCAGATATTTTTTAATGAGGCTGGAAAATAGCTCGTTAACTTAAAACAATTTTCTGCAAATTTAAAATCTTTCATCTTAAAGAAATCTATCTTAAAAAAAAAAAAACAATAGAAGACCCAGACAATTTATATAATAGCAATGCAATTGGGACATTAGTACATCTTGATATGAACATCGTCAATTGTTGATAGTGGAGCATCATTATCAATTTATTTGTGTTTGTAAATGTTATCATATATCCAAAAATAAAGTGTTTTGGGGTTAAGGTCTGAAAAGTGTTGATAGACTGTCATGAATGGCAATTTGAAAAAAGAAACAGCGGAATAAAAAATATAAATAAATTTTTCACCAGCACCAACATATGGGAACTTTCACAAGTCACTGACATCATGACGGAAACTTTCTTTAAAGAGTTGATAATCCTTCATGACTTTTAAGCAATTCATAATAATTATGAATGCAGATGTTAGTACGGAAATTTTGAAGTTTTATTCTTATTCTCATCGTACCAAAAATTCAAAAAATTCATCCTGTAAAACCAGATTTATACAGCGGAAGGTTTTTTTCTTGATTTTCAAGAGCGAGTCTGACACAAAAATATCAAAGAATGTGATCACGAGACAACGTGAATCAAGGGTGACCATCCATCTAAGCACAGTTATTTTATTAATACGTGTTCCTCACCATAAAATTAATAAATAAATACAAATGAAAGAGAGGTGTTGTGGGTCAGAGATTTTTTTTTTAAGATTCCAATATGGTAACACTGATTCAATTTATGAACTGTTAATCAAAATTTTAACGAGAATGATTAAAAACTTCGAGTCAATGTAATAACTGAAAGTCCCGATGATGATTAAAAATAAAACACATTTTTAAGGAACCCTTCAACAGGATTATTTTTACTATAATTCAATGAAACGTATCGACTCGCTCAGGTTTATTACAAACCCAAATAACATGAGTATTTGTTGCGAATAGCTTTTAATGCGGGTAATTTACTGAATATAGCGCGAGTGAGGGTGACAGCCAATCGAATCCAGCGGAGGGGCGGAGAAATGGTCTAGAACATTCCAGGTTTAATTTTGGAAACGGTCCCCCGAGGAAAACTCTTCTCAATTTATGTGAAATAAATTAATAAAAATATCATTCTTTTCATTATTAATAAGGTTTGGACGAGTCAAATTTACTTAAATGAGCCTTGATTCTAATTCATCAGATAACTAAGACCAAGATTAGTTATTTGAAGGGTCAAGTTCAAAATATAACTCGACATTTATAGTCTTAAATAGAACCTGCATCTCGCTTCTGGATCGAGAGAGGCTTACTATTATTCCATCTCAGCTGTTGTTTCCCGGCCAGTATTATTATTGTTTTCTTATTTTTCTACATAATATTTAATAGTTAATTTTTTTTCTATTATTTATTTGTTATTAGAAAATGTATACATAACATTATTTTATAATATTGACATTTATAAAAGCAATAAGAACCAAATAATATAAATATATAAGGATGTCAACTAGAGGGAAGGGTTGGGGGGGGGAGGAGGTGTAAATATTTAATTTAATTTAAATTTTTAATTTTAAAAACAAAAATTAACAATTTCAAGTATTCGGATAAACTTTAATTGAATTTTAATTTTTAAAAATACGATGCGTTTGGTATAAAATTTACATTTTCCCAAATCTTTTGGATTTAATGTTTTCACTTAACCATTATGTGTGTTAAAACTTTACAACAATAATTTTCTATTTGTTTTAATTGATAAATTGTCAGGACGCAGTCATTTTTAAAATTTTTTTTATTTGTGCCGACGTTTCAATCAAAAACATGTGGGGTATTCAAGTACTACCAGATAGGACAGAAAGTGCTCGAAACATGCCCTGATAACCCACATGTTTTGGTTGAAACGTCGGCACTAATAAAAAACATTGACAATGACTGCGTCCTGACTATTTACCACCTATGATATAAAGAAAAATCGATTAACTTCCTTCATTAATTTTCTTTTTCGTTCAAAACATAGTGTTGATACAATTACAATTTCTTTTTAAACTTAAAATTTAGGTTACAGCGATTCTAGTAGTTTGGAGGTTCTCAAAGCTTAAATTTTTAATTATTTTTTTCAAATTATTAAGGGAGGGAGTGACATCCCATCCTTTTCTCTTCCCTCAAACGACGTATCTTTTTCTGCGAATAGAAAAAGCTCAAAAACAATTGGAACTATTTTAAATTACATAGGAAAAATAATATATAAAAAGATAAATCCCAGAAATGATAAAAGTTGAAGACAATTTAAATCGAAATTAATAATAATAATAAATAAAAAATAAGTATAAACATAAGCAGCGAGGTCAGTTCCAGAAGACTAGACAGGAGCCAACGACCTTTCGCCGTCAGCCCTCGTGAGACATGAATAAATCTATTTACAGTCATTTACACTATATAATGATTATATAGCTGTAATTAATATATAAAAATCATTGGACTGTTTTTAGGTCTTTAATAAATAAAATATTGAGTCTAAAACAATAATAAATTCAATATATTCAATACATAAATACTAATAAAACATCGTGAAAATGTATATACATAAAAAAAAAGTGCCCTTTAACAAAAACAGATGGGCTAGAAAATAATTCAAAATCAGATTGTTTATTTTTTATTAACCATTAAATATATTGCTAAATAAAATTTAATTCAGTTTTATATACAATACGAAAAAAAATACATAGATTTTAAATTATATAATTAAATAATTGAATAGACGATGAATTATATAATTTAAAATAAATATCTTGTTTGAATGAGAAAAATCAAGGAATTAAACATTGGACTCATAATATAAATAAATAAACAAAACGTGTGATAATAATATACATTTGGATTAGAAAATTAATGCTTATAGATTTGAATTTTTTTTTAGTTTTAATTTTAGAATAATTATCTATGGAATTATAATTATTTTTTCTTAAATATATTTATTATTTTTAAATATTAAAAAAAAATACCTTCGCATTTGAGAAGACTTCCCTGTCGTCCAGAAGTACGGTAAGTTCCTCATCTTCCAGATTGCTGGAGGTGAGCCTCCTGCCCCAAAGCCTCTGAAGACCCAATTCCTGGCTGATCTGTTCGGTAGCTGACTCCATCTTGGATCTGGTAAGAGCGCTGTGACAATAATAACTCAACAATAAATAATATTATCTAGAAGAGACAAACCAGACTGGTATGTTCTCAACAACACTGGAAGCTTCCAACTGAACTCGCCCGCTTGGCAAGAGGACTTTTATCCCTTCAGAGGGGAAGGCTTCCCATTGGTGGATGAGTTCCCCCACCCCCGGGGGTGTTCACGTGAACAAGGCGTGCTTGTATAGCAAGTCGTGCCAACATAAGTCGACCATTCTATAGGTTAGGGTTTATTTCGTATCAAAATTGCATTTGTTTTTCCTGTTGCAGTTGATAAAACGAACAAAAAATAAAATAAAACAACCAAAGAGAAATGCTAATCAATTTCCATTGAAGAATATTTTTCCTTGTCTTATTACGACGTATTATAATTAAGGATTATCAATTGTTTTCAATAAAAAAAACATATGTTTTTATGAAAGGCCATATCGCCTGCATTGTCAGTACAAAAAATCATAATTGAAAAATTGAGTTTTTTTTTACAAGAGAGCAAAAACTGATTATTTGTTCCTAATTTATTAGTTTATTTTCCTCTTCTAGTTAGCATAGTAACAGACTACTTATATCAATTACAGACTGCAAAATATCACCTTTAGTACAAATAGAATAAGAATGAAAAATTGTTACATATGACATTTTGCACCAACAGTAGCGATATGCCTCCTTTAATTAACTAAATTAATTTTTTTTTAAATATTACTAACAGTAAAGTTCCTAGTTCTTGTCATTCATCTAAAATAATAAAAAAGAAAAAAAAAATATCTTGGTACCACAACACGTTCGAGCTACCAAAATAGATTTTTTTTTCATTGTACCATATTCGTTTCTATGAGTGACATGGTTTAAATATTGATAATATGTACTATTTTTAAATTATAAGACATAACAGCCACTTAATGTAAGCACGTGTTAAGAAAAAATGTCCCTAGGAGCATAATTGTTCCTGTAATTAACAGAATTTAAAGGACAATTTAAACAACATTTCATATAGTTTCTCCTTACTTGATAACTTTTTTTTAAAATATATTGATTGAGAGATATTACAATCTGTCATAAACTTGATAATTAATTAAAAGACAAATAAGCCCCCCTCTCAAAAAAGTTCTGAATTCTTCACTGCCTTGGAGGTCAATATTGCTATAAAATAGGAATCATTTTTGTTTTTAACTTTTAGAAATAATTTTGGATTTCGTAGATAACTAATTTCATAAAGAAGCATGCTCACGTCATTATTTCGTTCATTTTCCTTTTTTGTTTACGTCATCAAAAAAGTTGCACAAGTTTTAAAGTTTAACTCAGTTTACCCTGAAGTTTAAAGTCTCCTCCTTTCTTTACGGTGAAAATTAAAAACGTTTTATGAATAACCCATCAACTAAAATTAAGAATGACATAATCTTAATTTTTTGAGATTTTTCGAGAAAGTATTATTTGTTGTGCTTATCTATTTGACTTGCAACTTGTTGGTGTAGTTTTCCCTTTAGTTATCAGTTCAACGCCTAAATAAATACAGAAATGGATGAAGCCTTTTCTCTTGATAAATATTTGAAGTCTAAAAATATGAGGCCATCTGGCTCAACAAGCTTAAACTGTTGTTATCGCAGAATATTTCTAAAGGGTGAAGGCATGATGGGGTAGTTTCATTATCGAATATTAAAAATAAAAATAAAGTAATAATAAAGTTTTAAAAAATTGACAGCAACTTATTATTAATAATTCAACACTTTGAAAGAAACTAATTACGAAAAATATACCTTCTGTTTGAAATTTAAAAATTCAAATTTATGAAATCCACCACCTCTCTCGGATTCTTTTTTTAGCTGAATAGGTCCTACATGGTCCTTTTTATAACTTAAAAATTCTCTAAAATTTAGTTGGCACTCCTGCGTATACCTGGACCGGTTAGGCATCCAATAAGCTTCAATACCGTATGTCGCACTGTTATTTGTATTTATATTTTATAAAATGGAAGATTTCTCCAAATAAGATACTCATATTCTTTAACTTATAAAGTCGTATATCAAACTTAACGTAGGTAAATTTTTAAATGTGTTTCAATGGTGTCAATCATTGAAGTTACAAATACTGATCTAATACCTCAAGAAAAAAATCATTATTTTTAAATAATACTTCTATTATTTCTCTAAGAATCTTTTAATTGTGAATTGGACCATACATTTTTCGGAGTCAGTCGTACAACATTGACTATTAATTAATAATTAAATATTTTAAATTATTTCGATTAAAGTAGGCTTTATCAGACTACGATTCGAATATTTAGGATTACTTGGTATGGCGTCAATCAATAAGGAAACTTGTAGAAAAATAACTGGGTACAGGTTCCTATAAATATCATTTGGAGCCAATGTAAATAAACTTTGAGGACAAACATTTAAGTATATTGAGGTCGACTTTAGAGAAAACTTTTTTTCTCATAGACAATATTAGTTTAACTAGATAGGTTATCATAGGAATCAGGAAGAGTTTTTTATTAGCTAAGTTTCGACACAAAGAGGGCATAATTATTTTGGGCCTTCAGTACCAAAAATGTTCAAGTAAGGAACTGATTATTTATTATCCATGACATGCAGAATTTTTGACGAACTTCTATAAATCGATAGGTTACCGAGAAAACTAGTACTGTAATTTTTCATTTGGAAAAAAGAAAAGAAAGTTTCTACCTTTTCAAGTTTTTTTTTTTTGCTTAGAGATTAGACCTGCTGTTTTTCAAGATAAATTTTAGATTATATTAAGTTAGGTAATAAGGTACACTTGATAGTGAATTCATACAGTGTATGAAACAGACAAGTAGAATCCAAGTTTGAAACCGTGTTGTATAGATTGTTAAAAATAAATATATAAAAGATGTAAAAGTTATTGATAAAATCGATCTAGTTGAATGGCAAGATGTTCTCCATTCATGGTTTCTTCATAGTTCTTAGTCTTTTATGAATGAAATAGTACAATATAAGATCCAGAAAGGGTAAATCTTCCCCCTCTCCCCTAGGATGAACATGTTTGAACCCTTGTCATGGGAGGCAGTCAATAAATGGAACCAGTGCTACCAACTGCATTCTCCAGCAAACTAGACATCTTCATTTCCAACTCTATATATCATTTAAATACATGAGTAAAAATATATCAACACTCAATGAGGACAGTTGATGATTCGTAGATTGAATTGCTGGTTTAATTCATCTAATTGTAGCAATAGTTTTTTTTAAAGAAAATTAGAGAATGCAGAAGTATATAGTTATATCGATTACAATACATAATCGATGCATTAATTAGATAGTTGATAACAGCTTAGTTTAATAATTAACCTATCTGGTTCAACCACTTTCATGATACTAATATATTTAACACTTCAAACTGAATTTTATACGTAATAGAACTAATTTGGGGCAGTAGCCAAGTTCTTTTAAAGGTAATCTGATTTGTAAAACATTTTTTGAAGGTCTCATCAATACGAAGGTAAACTGCTCGCCCAGTTTTTGCTGTGATAGTCCAACGAAATTTCGTAAACATAATTTAGCACAACCAATTACCAAATGTTTGTCAACAATAAATAAAAAAATTTATATTTATTTGTCGAGTACTCAATGGTTGACCGTAGTATAATATTGAGGAAAGAGATGGTCTGGGGTGGCCGTGATAAAAAAAAATAAAATAAAATAAAAAACTTAAAATAGTGAACAACTATTTTATTTTAAGCCAAAGACCCAATTACTGGTCTTCACTAGGATAAGAAGGAACAAGATACAAAAGGATATAGAAAAGTGTTCGAGTTACGTGATATAATTTTGATAAAAATTATAAACAGTGTAAATAGAAAGTATATAAAAATATTAAGAACATAAAAATGAACAAACAGAGTAAATGAAGCACAAATAATTAACCCCAAAGTAAAATACAATTGGTGAAAATAATTGAAAATAAGAAAAAATTGATAAAATTATGAATTGAAAAAAAATATGATATACGTAATTATGAATATAATCAGATAAACAATTAAGTTACGTGATTATATTTTATTATTATCATGTAGCTCCCACAATTTTGTATGTCTTTTTGTATCTTTTTCGTTCTAGCACTGATGAAGACCTGCATAGTTAGGTCGAAACGTTGGCTTAAAATAAAATAATTTTTTACTACTTTAAGATTTTTTTTTTAAGACACCTCAGACCATCTCTTTCCTCAATGTATTTATTTTTGTATGTTTCAAGATTTAAAAAAAAGCTCTGAACATCAAAGCACAGCCACTAAGATCGTATTTCCTTCATATTTGATTGGGAAATAGATGAATAGGATTAATATCAATTCAATTTCTTACTTATATCTTGTTTATGGACATTTTATAATTATTTCCGAAATGGATAGAAAGAAAAAGATCGAAATACTCAAAAGAAACTTCTTGGACACCAACTCAATTAATGTAAACGTTTAGCTCAATTTGGAGGGTCAATATAGGCCCAGAAAATTTTAACATTAGAAAAAAAACTCAAGAAATACTGAAATGTTTCTCCCAAATACTTTGTATTGTAATCTATTGTTCTGCCAAGAAAACAGCCATAGTTTCAACTCGTCAGAACGAAAGAGGCAGCCGAATGTACTTTGATACAGTTCAAAAGTTCATTATAAACAAAAAAAAAAATTTTAAAAATCTAAGGTGTGTGCTTTAGGTCAAACGATAGAATGAAAACATCAATGAGGTGAGATTAATAATACGAAATATAAATTATAAATAATAGCTCATTGTAAAGATGATGAAATACTGAATACTTCCCTCCATTACAGTATACAGATCCGATTTTTAGTTTCTGAGATATTTTAATCCATATCATCCATAAAGCTCGTTATAATTTGGTTTCCGACACTATTTTTTCCATTTCGCGTTAAGATGCAATTTTGAATGAGAATAATAGAACATTACAGAGAATATGAAATGCTGTAAAATTCCCTTTCTTACAGTATGCAGGTTCGATTTTTAGATTCTGAGATATTTTAATCCATAAGCAAAACACTTATATTAATCGTCTCCAGGCGACTTTACCCGAGCGTTACACATCTGAGATC